TAACATGAGTGAAACTCCGTCTCAAAAAAAAAAAAATAGTGATTTCTGAGATTTTAGTGCACCCATCTCCCAAGGAGTGTGTACTGTACCCAATATGTAGTCTTTTATCCCTCATTCCCATCCCAATCATTCCCCTCCATGTCCCCAAAGTCCATTATATCATTCTCATGCCTTTGCATCCTGCGCTTCTTTCTTGCTCCCCATCGACCCATTCTCCTATTGCAATATGGGCTTTCTAAACTATAAATGTACCACTCCCCTGATCCTTACTGCTGCCAAGCCAAATTCCTAAGTCTTATAAACAAGACTAGCTTCTTTATCACTCCAAACTTATATCCCTAGCTTACCATGCTTTTTCCCATCTTCATACCCTCACTCATGATGTTCTCTCTGCTTGAAATCTGTCATATCCCTCTGCCCCAACTCATTTTACAAGTAAACTTTCTCTTGAAAGCTGAGCCAGATCAAACCTAGATAGGTGCCTCTCCCTTAAGTGTCTAAAGTCCTTTATCTAGCTGAATTGTAATTGCCTCTTATCTCTCCCATTAGACAATGTGTTTAAAGAAGACCGATCTATGTCTTAGTTTAGACCTATGTCTTAGTTTACAGTATATTCACAGTGCCTAGCATATGCATTTAATAAATGAATTTTTAATAAGCACTTGATTAATGGTTATTAAACTGTGTTTTCAGAGAATTAAAAACAAAGCCTAGAAAAACAGGTTGACAATGGAAAATCACAGAAGGCTCACAACCAGGAAAGTAACAGGAATATGAAGAAGACTGGTCAGATTCCACAACTCTGAGCCACATTTATCTTTGGAAGGAGTCATTTTACCTGCATGTTTAAAGGTCACAGCATAACTGTTTCCCTTCCTTACTCCTCTTTCCCTGCAATTACCTTCTCTTTCCACTCTCTCCTTTAGCTATCACATCTACTGCTACCACTTCCTTTTTCACTTTTGCAGATAAGTTCCTAACTGGTTTCCTACAGTAATTTTTAAATGACCTTTAAAATAGAGGACTTTCCAGTATCAACCTACGCTCCTAGGGCTGTATTTTAACCCAGCAATTCCTCACTGGAAAGTAATATTAAAGAAATAACTGAAAATGTATAAAACAACTGAGCTTCAAGAATATTACACACCACTGTAAAGTCAAAAATCTAAGTATATGAGAATTTAGTACATAAATAATAGCATTATTATCCTAGCACTTTGGGAGACCAAGGCAGGAGGATCACCTGAGGCCAAGAGTATGAGACCAGCCCGGCAACATAGCAAGACCCTATCTCTTAAAAAAAAAAATTTTTTTTTTAATTAGATAGGGCCGGGCGCAGTGGCTCAAACCTGTAATCCTAACTTTGGGTGGCCAAGGCAGGTGGATCACGAGGTCAGGAAATTGAGAACATCCTGGCCAACATAGTGAAACCCCGTCTCTGCTAGGTGTGGTGGCTCATGCCTGTAAGCCTAGCACTTTGGGAGGCTGAGGCGGGCAGATCACCTGAGGTCGGGAGCTCAAGACCAGCCTGGCCAGCATGGTAAAACCCCACCTGTATAAATAAATAAAAAATAGACGGGCGTGATGGTGGGTGCCTATAGTCCTAGCTACTCAGGAGGCTAGGCAGGAGGATCGCTTAAGCCCAGGTCGAAGTTGTAGTAAGCCGTAAGCACACCAGTGCACTCCAACCTGGTTAACAGAGTAAGACCCTGTCTCAAAAAATATACATAGCATTACCACTTAAATAATATTACACAGCCAATAAAAAAGGGTATTATATAGAATATCTAAGGAGACAAACAATATGGTTAGGCAACAGTGATGAGAGAGAGACTTAATTCTGACCATATACCCTTTTGTACCTTTTGTATCTGTACCTCATATATGTATTACTAGTCAAAAAAAGGAAGAAATTTTTTTTAAAAAAAGCTTACTTTTAAAATATCATGTAGGTATATTATTTCATGATTCATAAATATGTACAACACATTGTTAGGTAAAAAAAGAAACCACAAAACAGTATTACAGTAGTGGAATATTAATGTTGCCAATGGGTGTATACATTTAAGCATATTTACTACAGCATTTGGAAAATGTTAATATAAAAAGAACTGTTAATTACAGCCACAAAATACAGACTGATTACAATAGGGAGAGATACAGAAAGGAAATTAATTCACTCAAGAGGAATATCAAAATACAACAGTTTTCCACTCATATACTTGTTTACCAAATATGTTGCTTCAATCCAATTTTAAACAATTTTTTTTCTAATGTTGTATATGTTAATATTAGAGATTATTTTGCATTTTTTTTTTTTTAAGATGGGGTTTTGCTATGTTGCCCAGCCTGTTCTCCAACTCCTGGGCTCAAGCGATTCTCCCACTTCAGCCTCCCAGGCTGGGGGTACAGGCACACATGCCACCATGCCTGGCTTATCTTGCATCCTTGGTTCGTAATGTTAAGTGTTTCACCGTTCACAGGAACACTATTCCCTCATCATCAAATTGTCTTTTAATAAGTTTAACTGTTTATCTTCTGAAATCAGTGGATTGGTCTTATAAACGTGTATCATTTCTTTATGTGGAGAAGAGAAGATTGCTGGTAAAATAAATATAATACAAAAAAAAGAACTGTTAAAGGTAGCTGGCAATAAGGATACCCTGTGTGAAACTAATAAATGTCTCTTTTCCACTATATTACAAATTCCTTTTAAATCAAGGGCAATGAGTTTTATTCTGACTTGTATTGCCCCTCCTAAAGCCATACCCTCACCTTCAAAAGCGTTTTTCATAAATAACTGTTAAACAGATTCTCAACTTTCTACAGGGGAAATTAATCTGGCTAATTATCCCGTTCCCGTCAAACTCACTTCCACACTCTTAGCATCATTAGTCCCACTAGTTTCTCCTGTCTCTAAATCTAGACATCCATCATTTTTAATTACCCTATCTCCCTCACACAATCAGCTACCATCCTGTCAATTCTATACTTGAAATTTGTATACATCCAAAACTGTATAAATCCTCTCCTACGTAGTTCCACTGGGACACAGCATGGCACTGCTTTAGAGCCAGAAAAATGTGTGACAGTGGATCTTAACCTAGCTATGCTATCTTAGTAAAGATACCTAATCTCTCAGGCTCAGTTTCCATATCTATAAAATGTATTTGACTACCTTTGAAAACTCAGTCGGGCACTGCAGTGGCTCATGCCTATAATCTTAGCACTTTGGGAGGCTGAGGTGGGAGGATCACTTGAGCTCAGAAATTCAAGAACAGCCTGGGCAACATGGCAAAACTCCATCTCTACAAAAAAATACAAAAATGAGTCAGGCATGGTGGCACACAATTGTAGTCCCAGCTACTCGGGAGGATGAGATGGGAAGATCAATTGAGCCCTGGTGGGAGAAATTGCAGTGAGCTGTGACTACACCACTGCACTCCAGCTGGGATGACAAAACAAGACCTAGACCCAAAAAAAAAACTGATGGAAGGAATGGAGATGATTTACTTAAGTTACTAAAGCACTGTGTCTGGCACAAATTAAGCATTCAATAAATGTGGAGAAGCAATGATTACTGTCCATCTCCTAACTCAGGTTTTCATAACATCTCACTTTTTCTCCCTGATTTTGTCACCTCACCACTATTTTCTCTGAACCATTTTAAGTATTATTGATGAAGTAATCTACCTAATGTATCTTACTAATTGCATAATTTGCCTGCTCAAAAACTACCCATTTCCTACAAAATAAAGTTCATAATTCTTCACTGAGCATTCAAGGAGCTCCATGATCTGCCTTTGAACTGCCTTGGGTGCCACTTCATACTGCTACTTTAAGCATATCCTAACAGATGCCCTCCTTTCCTAACTACAACCGTGAAATATTACCCCTTTCACCAAAGACCAAGTTCATAAGCCAAACACCTTTATGAAATCTTTCCTGATACACTCAGATGAAAAATTATTTATCTCTCCTCTTCTGAAATCATGTATCCTTTATTTATACCCACAAAGAGAGCTAATTCTAATATGTCAGATACTGATGGGCATTTTGTAAACAAAGATGATGAACCCCAAGGAATTCACACTGTGCTTCTTTATGTGATCATCACATCCTAACTCAAATCACAATTTTGTGGATCTAATCTCCAATACTGAGTTATAACTTCTTGAAAACAAACATTCCACTATTTCATAACACCCACCAACCCCTATTTCCTCCTTCAAGACGATTTAAATGTGATCTCTGCTAAGCCTTCCCCATCACCCCAAAAGAAGGCATTTACCATCTGCCTTATCCTCTCAAGGTACTCGATGTTTACCTAGGAATGAATAAAAGAATAGATTAAATATGTGATAAACCAATGAATGCCAATTTTCCTGAACTAGAAAAGTACAAAACTAATTGATCATATGCTTCTTTCTCTTTTTTTCTATTTCTCTTTCTTTCGAGACAGGGTCTCATTCTGTTGCTCAGGCTGGAGCGCAGTGGTGTAATCTTAGCTCACTGCTGCCTTTACCTCCCAGGTTCAAGCAATCCTTCCACTTCAGCCTCCCGAGTTGCTGGGACAACAGAAGCAAGCCACCACAACTAGTTAATTTTCTTTTGTAGAGATGTTGTCCAGGCTGGTCTCAAACCCCTGGACTCAAGCAGTCCTTCTGCTTCAGCCTCCCAAAGTGCTGGATTACAGGCATGAGCCACTGTGCCAGGCTCTTTCAGTTTTAACTGTTCTCTATTTCTATAACCATGATAGGTTTGTTCTGATACTGCCTGCATTGTGGGTTTTCTAAATCTTGGCTGGAATGTCAGAGAGGTATAGTCATTAAACAAATAGTGCTAACTGACCCACCTGAAATGTGAGACCATGAATTAATCTTCAGTAAGAAATGCTAACTCCAAGTTTTCCAACTTTTGACTTTTACAGACCTATAAACCGTTAGTTCAGTTAGATCACAGCTGTCAAATTTTTATTTTGCCAAGTAAAGCATTATGATACAACCACTACCCACTATCAACACTATCTCATAAAAGAATGAACATTTTAAACATTTTCCATTCAAATATTTACTGAGCACCTATATTGCTAACATTGTACTAGACACTGGAGATACAGCTGAGAAAAAGAGAAATTATACGCGTCCTCAAAAAGCTTGATACAAGAACACACTTGATAAAAATAGAAGGAAAAAAAATCTCCAAAGAAAGTTCTCTAATTTGATTCAACTAACATTAAGACAGAGAAATGTGAAGTTCTTTTTTTTTTTTTTTTTTCAATTTCTCCGTGGACTTCAAGTTCACTTATGATCTGCTTTCATGAATCTTAAGTTAACCAGCTATGTTTAATTTACATATTGCAGGGCCAATTGTACATTCAGGGGCGCTCAAGCAATTTTGTACAGAAACATTACTCCACAACATTACACCCCCGACCTTAAAAGACATTATCCGATGATGAGTTTGACTATAACTCTCTCAACTCTCCCCTCTTCGCAGTAGTCTCCGTGAATGCATCTCATTGCTAACGTGTGAAATCTCTCCACGAGACAAGTATTAAAGTTTCGGGCCAAATTGTAGAGCACCGTAATCCTAAACCGAATGAGTGTCACAACTGGGGAACATAACTCCTGATAGAAAAGCAGTCAAAGAGAAAGGATTTAGAAACATCGTGATTGGGAAACCACGAAGCAATGCAAGCTGCTCGGAGTCCGGCACTACTGTCAAACACTTCTGTCAAATCCAAGGCCCCCGCTCCCAAACGCCACCAGAGGTAAACCTGAGAACCCCGATCCTTCTCAAGGCCCAAACCTGACAGAAAAAATAAAAAATAAAGCCATGCAAGCAGAGAAGCCAATTCGACCAGAGACACCGAGGGCCCAAGTTAAAGCAAGGAAATGAAGGGGCTGCTGCAGCTCTCCCTCATGAGGCGATGCTCACACCGCTCGAGTGAGGGTGTCTGTGTGTGTGAGAGAAATTAAAGAAGCAATCTGCAGAAAGAAAGGTCAAGGACGCCTAACGGTTTTTTTTTTTTAAAGGTCCAAAATAGAGAAGCAGGGTCGGAATCAAGTCGCCAAGCCTTACCTCAGCGCTCGGGTGTTTAAAAGTATCTAAAAATAGCAGCTCCATCGCTGAGTCCACCGCCATGTTTGCCGCGGGCGGGGAACGGGGGGAGGACTTCCGGGGCAGCGCTCCAGCCTCAGCTACAGCGGCCCTGAAGAGAGAGAAACAGCGGCACTTCCGGCGACCTGAGAACCAGCGCCGCAATGGTTGGCCTATCCCAACGCATCTTGTTGCCCGAAGTTGCAGGCCCCGCCTTTTCCAGCGCGGCGGAGGGCGCCCCCAGAAGCAGAGTGGGGCGGAGGGAAGCGACGGGAGATTACGGAGTCTCTAGTGGTTCAAACCCTGTCGTTCCGCCGCCTTACGGAGCCACAGCGGCCCCGGTGGCGAAGTGCGGTGCCGGGGTTTTGGAGAGGGCGGAGGAGGGGGACGGAAAGCTGCCAACTTTGGATACCAACCCTGCACACCCACCGAAGAGGGTGTCCCACTTTTTCCAGCGCTGGGAGCAAAAAGATACAGTGAGCGAGGCTGAAAAATAAGACATTGATTTAAATAGAAGAAAAGAAACTTGTCTTAACAAAGGAAGAGATTCTTTGTTTTCTTATCTGTAAAATGTGAAAAATCGTACCTAACCCACAGGCTGATTGTGAGGAGTAATTGAAATAAAATTCGAGGAATTGTATAATGTGAAGTACCAGGAACAATGAAACAGGAGGCGGAATGAAAAGTAAGCCTGTAGGGTGTTAATGAGCTTTGGAACAGCAGATAAACACAGCGGGTTTGGTTGTCTAAATGGCACAGACCCTTAGGAGAGCAACTAGGAAATAGCTTGTAAAATTGCACGTGCCTACCCCTCTTCTAGGAACATTCTTGCGCACCTATCTACAATTACAAAAATATTCATGGCAAACTTTATAAGTTGCAAAAGAACAGCAAACATAAGTGCCATTGACAGAAGTAATAAGTAAACGGTGGCGTGTTTATATAATAGAATATAGCAGGTAGGAAGAATAAACTAGTGCTATATGTATCAGCATGAAAAATCAAAAAAGCAGTGTTACCGGGCGCGTTGGCTCACGCCTATAATCCCAGGACTTGGGAGGATGAGGCATTGAGGATCGCTGGAGCCCAGGAGTTGGAGACCTGCCTGGGCAGTATAGCAAGACCCTGTTCTTCAGAAAAACGAAATAAAAAGAAAG